CAGTTCCCTAATCAGGTTGTTGAAGAACCAGTAGATGCCTCCCATGTGCAATAGGGCATCAAAGATGTGGATGGAGCAGCTGTCCACCCATCCCCTCTCCAGTACCTTGGCAAATAACGTCCATCAGCACCTTCTTGATGTGTCACTTTGGGGGCAGCAGGTTCCAGTAGGGCATGGTGTCCATGCCCATGGATGGGAACTTGATCTGCATGGCTGTCTGCTGCAACACATCAGCACACGTGTGCTCCAGGATGGAGCTCATGATCACCACACTCTCATTGTAGAGTTGCAGGGTATTCTTGCTGTACAGTGGCCCTGCCAGCTGGCGGATCATCTGCAGTGACTTCTCACGTCATCCAGCTCCAGCATCCACACACGGGCCACCGGCCAAGCCACGGCACACACTGCCAGATTGCAAACCTTCCCTTTGATATTATTGGTGATTTTCTGGATGAACTTGAAGCCAGTCTTGTGCAGCTGCTCCGAGTGCATGGACAGCATGGTGGGGATGCTCCTGATAAGTGTGCCGCACTGCTAGGCCTGGCTTGAGAGCTGGGGGCTGCTGAGACCAGCCAGGATATCCCCAGGCTTCGAGGCATTGCTCAATGGCAGTCCAGGAGGAAGCCTCCTCTAGTTTGGCCATGTGGAGCAGGGCCCAGTTCTTGGTACTGCTGACGGTCTTCTACAGGCGCTGCAGGCACATAGCAAGCTGCTTTTTGGCAGCTGCGGCAGGAGTGCCAGCCTCCAGCCCGTCCTGGAGCCGCTCAGCAGAGGCTGCGGTACGGCGCAGCAGACGGTAGAGGGCACTGAGAAGGGCCCGGCACAGCCCAATGCACTCCTCTGCTTTGTTGTGACAGCTCAGTCGGTCACAAAACATGTCCATGATGCCCAGCAAGGCCTGGACACACAGGTCCCGGGAAAAGTCATCAAACTTCCTGATAGCTGTGAGGACAGAGGAGTAGAACACCATCGGGGAGCTGATGGCATACTTCAGGTAGGACAGGATGAGAGGTTTGGGGGAAGGTCCAGTCATGGCCTGCTCCAGTAGTGCTTCTGCCAGGTTGAGAATGTCCCAGGTGGCTCCTTTGGGAAAAAATGTCATGTTGATTGCCCACTGGTAGTCACTCCATTGCACCTTCCAAGCTTGCAAAATAGCTTGCTTCGGGTTCACCACCTTCATGATTTCACTCAGGAGACCAGGCTGGTGGTGGTCAGCTGTGAGGCAGAAGAAATCGAGCTAGAGAAGGGGAGAGGAGATTCTGAGGAAAAGAACGGGGTGCTGTGGGGGGCAGTGAGTAGAGTTATATGGAATGGAGAAGACACAGGAAAATGCAAAGGAGGCAGAAATAGAAAGTCAAAAAAAAAAAGGGAAAGGGGGCAAAGTAGGGATCCTGCCAGGTTCTTCCCTCCTAAACCATCCTTGGAACTGGAGCACTAAGAAGAAGGTGTCAAAGGGGCTTAATACAAAGATAAATGGGCAGCAAGGAGTTAAGCTGGTTCCAATTCCCTAACTACACCCTTAGCTCTTGCTGCGTCCCTCAGCCGCTGCCACCTGAATCCAGATCCCCCCCATTTCTTCCACCTTCCCCAACCCTGAAATTCCCTATTTGATTCCATATAAATCTTAAGATTATTGTTTCAGTTTGGTAAAAACTGTCCTGGGTAATTTGATAGGGATTGCATTAAATCTGTAGATTGCCTGGGACAGAATGACCATTTTAATAACACTGATTCTTCCAATCCAGGAGCATGGGTTATCTTTCCATTTTTTTAAGTCTTCTTTAATTTACTTAATCAAAGTTTTGTAGTTCTCCACCTGTACGTCTTTTGTCTCCTTTGTCAGATTTATTCCTAAGTATTTTATTGTTTTGGATGTAATTTTAAAAGGGATTGTTTCTTTCTTTTCCTCTTGATTCATTGTTAGTGTAAAGAAATTCAACTGATTTGTGTATGTTAATCTTGTGTCCTGCTACCTTGCCAAATTCTTTTATTAGCTCTAGAATTTTGGGGTTTTTTTTTAATGGTACTTTTCAGGTTTTCTATATATAGTATGTCATTCACATATAATGACAATTTTACCTCTTCTTTTCCAATTTGGATCCTTTTTATTTCTTTTTCTTGCCTGATTGCTGTGGCTAGGACTTCCAAGACTATGTTGAATAGAAGTGGTGAGAGTGGACGATGTTGTCTTTTCCCAGATTTTAGTGGAAATGTTTCCAGTTTTTCACTGTTAAGTACTATGCTGGCTATAGGTTTGTCATAAACAGCTTTTATTATGTTGAGATATGTTCCCTCTACACCCACTTTGGTAAGGTTTTTCTTTTTTTTAATCATAAATGGGTGTTGAATTTTATCAAATGCTTTCTCTGTATCTATTCAGATGATCATGTGTTTTTTGCCCTGATCATGATCTCTATCATTCTTTCCTAGGATGGCAGGCAGTTCACACCATGTCTTCTGTTTTTCTGTGGATTCAGAGCTTCTCCCAAATCTGGATGCTCCTCAATCAATGCCCAGTCTGCTCTTTGTACAGTAACTCTAAATGAGTTATGCACTATTATTGATGTTCTCTTAAAATTAGAATTAAATCCTGGAAAAGAATCAGGGTTATTTTTTGCAGGCTTGCAGACCAGGAATACACAGCCTTTACCTGTAACTGAAAGTGTGTTCCTAGGTGGTTGAGAGGTTGAATGATGTTTAAAAGCAAACCCCAGAGAATATATAATTGGAAGACTTCTAAGGGGAATGAAAGGCCCTTGCAGACTGACTACACGTTCTTGCAGATGGACCCCAAGTTTTCCATGATTGGCTGACATCAGAGCATCTCCTTAGTGGCTTTACCAAGTGGGACCCTTAGCAGCTTCAGAAGTCTACTTAGAGTTTTGGTTTGTGGTTTTCTAAGAACTTGAGAGTATGTAACTTAACCCTAGGTCTGCATTGAGTCACAGCTGGGGGACTCTGAGGGGTGGTAGGGCCTGTGGTCACTTCCCAGGCCCCTGACATAAGGCTCTGAGATTCCTGCAGATTCTCATCTAAGTCTGTTTCTGCTCATATGAGCTCAATTGATCACATCTAGGGCACTTGCTTTAACAGGTGACCTGCCTTATTTTTAATTTGTAAAATTGTTATTTAATCCAAAAAAAGTGATAATCTCATATGTTACCCAGGGAGACACAATAGGGCACATAGTAAGTAATAACTGATAAGAATAATCAGGAACTGAATAGTTATAGACACGTAAGGAACACTGGGAGCCCCAGCACTGCAGGTGAGGGGAGTCGGGAGAGACTGGCTAATACTGACAGGAGTGTCCTTTGCTCCGGCTCTGGAGCTGTCACAGGCAGGAGACGTGTAGCTGGCTCTCGGTCTCCAGGTGTTTCCACAGCGGGTTCCAGAGCTGGTGCTGTACCTCCAAGAAGGGAAACTATCATCCGTCTGACTGCTTTTCCACATGTGTCCCAAAGACAGGAAAGTCCTCACTGACAATCAGAGATGTCTCAGTCCCAA